TTAAAATAGTAATAATTGTTTTTGATAAAATTTAAATCTACTTAAACTATAAAATGACTGCCAAATTTTTTTTATATTTATTTATTTTTCAAAAATAGCGATATATTCTGAACGATATAAATAGAAATTTCCGTAGGTCACATCGATTACTAGTATTGAAGATTTTCTTTTTTCCATATTTGTTTTTGGTATATATGGCAAAATGTAAAGTTATTTTGACTTTTACCAGTACACTTATCATAAGCACTTAGATGTTCCAAATGCCACTTTAAAAATGGATTTTCACAAGGCTACCTTTACAGAAATATCAAAGCTTAACATGATTATATTCTGTTTAATTGTACTTTTTCTTCTTGCGAAATCCGTGATTTATGTGAAGTCTAGCTTTAATAAGACTTCATGTTTTCTTGTACATTGTTAAACAATGTCATTAATAGACATTTATAGACAAAGTTAGCAAATGTCATTCTGCTGAAGGGAATGGTACACATTCTTTTGTGGAAATATAGTACAAAATTTCCCTATAAAGTCGCGCGTGTGAATTGACAATGTATTAGTTTTCGGATAAGCACCATGTCCGTCAGCTGTAGGACCATGAACTTACCATGAAAGGCTTATTATGTTCTTTTATTCTGTTATTCATGTTCTTTACTTACACCAAAGTTCTATAATCCAAGATGCGACATCCAAAATGTAGGTTAGTTTTAGTTCATATCGCTGGTACAGTGGATGTTCGTGCAGCAGTTTTCGAAAGCAGTTTGTCCGCTATGTCTGCAAGATTTTGAAAATAAAGAAAATGTTCCTTGTTTTTGTTCAAGGAAATAAATCATCTCTTCAAGACGCTTTTTTGCAAATTTCAAATTAATCAATAAACAAAAAGACGTAAAAAAATATTCTCAACATTTATTCCACAGAAATTACTTTTAAAGCGTTTAGTTGACAAGATCATATACATTAATGGCTCATTTGCTTTTAATAGCACTGATGGTTGCAGAATTTGCTGCATTTCCACGAATCTGTCTATAATTTAAATGACCCTGTGTCGGAGACATAAACAGGATCGTGGTGTATTATAGTGTTTGCGTTTGTGTCCCTTAATTTAGGACATGTGGAAAGTCATTCTTATAGAAAGCCTTTTAAAATAATGATTAAACAAATTATTGCTTACTAAAAGACAAGAAAAAAACAGCGAGCCAACATTAGTTTACTGTCAATGTTGTTGTAATTGTTTTGGGGGTAGTTGTTGTTTTAAAGAAGAATGATATTTCGGGTGCGTTGCTAGTTTATATGTTTATCTTTATAATCTGATTAATTAAATACTTCAAATGCCATTACTTGGATTTTTTTTTCACAAATAAGGAACGACCTCTTTCCTCATTACACACATTTGCACGTGTCGATATCTTAGCCAGCTAAATGCTGGTAACTTTTGTCATTAATCCGAACATGATTTCTAACATTGACATGACATTTAACCATGTATATTTTTCTTATCCATAGCCTCTGGTGAGACACATTAATTAATTAACGATGTGAAATGATGTCGTACTATCTTAATACAAGAACGACCTGTTTGCCTCAGGTAGTATTTCATTAATAATTGTTAAAGTTAAGAAAGAATCGGAACATTGTCACACTTTCACCTACACCGCAAACCAGAAGTAATTCTATTGGTGATTAATTGAATACCTAATTGTTACGTAATTGAAGGGGAAAAAAGTTGATTCTTACACTCACGTGATTTTGCCACTTTAGACAAAGAAGGAAAAAACTGGTGTTAAACTGCCAATAAACACCGGTTAGGGACTACTTGTATATGCGCTGAACATTATGTTTTCACACTCGATTGTATAGTTTACAAAGCATTTTAAAGCAATAATAAAAAGCATTTTTATTTACATTTTCTATTCGCATAATGTTTTCTTTTCATACAATACCGAAATAATAACTCACATACACTAACGCCACATATTAGATCCATATTATATCAGTTAATAAATATTTTGAAAAAACGGCGCCAAACCGTAAGCAGCGTAATGACGTCATCCTTAGTAAACAACTCATTCATAAACAAGCTGACGTTATTTCATACATAAAAGAATGATAAATGGGGCTCTGATGTTAACACATTTAATATTTACGACGTAAGTTTTGATTGTTGAAAACTTGATAAAATAACGTTTTTTTTTTCTTATTATTTCTTTTGTTTAATAATTTCTATATCTTCGCAATAGTAGGGTGCGAAAATCGAACAGCATTATATAGAGGATATTGAATGAGTGTAGTTTAATACTAAATTTATTAAACGAGTTGAATAAAATCATATTATGCGAGCCTCTGGCGAGCATAATATTGTTTTATTCAACGAGTTTAATAAATTTAGTATTGAATCTACACGAATATTAAGAGGATATTTTTTCGTTTCGTGAAATATGGAATATATTTTCACGAAACATGATAAAATGCCACATATTTTCACGAGCCGGCACGGCGAGTGAAAATATGTGGCATTTTATCATGTTGAGTGAAAATATATATCATATTTCACGAAAAACGAAAAAATAACCTTTTTATTTAATTTCATTATCAAAGAAAATGGTAACAAATCCCCTTGTTTGCTACCAACTGCAATTGTACAGCGCGCAGTAATTTATGCGTAAGCACGCGCTGTTTGGCGCTACATTGTGACGTCATGTAAACAACTCTTTAAACGTCTGTACAGCGTTAATTACTGAATTAAAGATATTGGTGTTCGGATTAATTTTCTTAGTTAGACAACTTTCTATCATGCTAGATAGTTTTCAAAACAATATTCAAGAAAAGTTGTTTTGTATTCATCAGATTTTTCAAACAAAACGGCGAAAGAAGTCCCTTAAAATAAATATGAGTTTTGACTCCGCCCACTTTCATTTTATATTTCATATTTATTTTTAAAAAATATGAAATATATTTGACTGATATAGCACCATATTTCATGGGTAAAATTAAATTAAATATTCTATTTATCACATATATAAAATAAGAACAGTAAACTGTTAATATGAGTAATTTTTCAATGACGCGCCTATAGTGTACAACGCTAACATTAGCGCGCTTTAACGCTATGTATAAATATAGCGCAAATGACACTAGTGTAATATCGTTTTTATTAGTCGCCGGTAGACTATATTTGTAACAGTTTAATATTATAGCTATGGTAGGAGAAGGCCTTAAAATCTGAATATAAAAACAAATCAATTACTGAACAATTAAGGACCACAATTATTTTTCATAATCTTAAAAATTCAAAAATAAAGTAACATTGCTAAATGAAATGAAATATACAAATATTGACATCTTAAAAAGCAAGATTACAATTTTCATAAAATGAATTAATAACGTATCCCTATGGACCAGTCATTAAATATAGGGATACTTTTCTTTTTTTCTAGGTGTCAAGCGTTGCTATTTTATGATTGATAAATCATGAATGATAATTGAAATGACACATTTAAATTATTTGTTTGTTATATCTTATGAGACCTATTATATTTCATTATTTCATCTTATTACAAACAGATTCTCCCTGTTCTATTGTAAGAATCACATGACTACACGTTGTAATGTTAGTGTTAAACAATCTATTAATAGTAACAGATTGCTGATAAGACTTGTGAATAGTTGGAAAACAGTATGGCGGCTAATTAGATGCAAATGTATAAATAATTACAAAGTTATCTTTCATTAATCAGTTTCATATTTTATATCATTAGAAAGGTCTTTATACTCATAATTTGCACATTAAAGAATTAAATAAATTTTCAAAACCTTTTCATTTTTCCTTGGTAAAGGGTTAAACGTGGCCCTTTCTGTCAACGTTCAATAGTTTAGTTTAGGTTGAACATCACAAAATAGATTTATGTTAAAGAGGCACCTTTATTGAAATAAATAGTGGTAATCGTCGTCTTCGTTATATTCCGTCGATTTCCGTCGCGCAGGTTGCCAAAACGGTATGACGGGTCGTATTAGATACATAATAAAGAAAACTAATAAAATATCTTTTTGTTAATATTCTATCGAACTGAAAGGCAATTAAACGTTTACTATATCGTAGGTAACGACAGGAATATTGATTTCAACTAAATAGTTTATTTTTTCGATAGTGCAAAAAAATAATGTTTTTTATGCAGATACCACTTTTACGGTAGAATTGCATTGTTTCATGCAATAATTAAAACATATATATTTTCAAATATTCGATTCTGAAGTATACAAAACGGATTTCGATGTCTGTGTATAAGGTAGAATTACAAGTAGAATTACAAGAATATCACTCGCCTTACAAAATTAATCAAAATTATAAAATAAAAAAAATGCTATAAATGAAACACAATTTATCAACTTATGTTTCATATAGTTAAAAGAAATAATAAAAAAAATAGTTTTATGAAAACTGCAAAAGGTGTTTTCAAAGATTCGAACTTGGCCCACTAGGTCACAACTTCGTCCTACTTACCGCCTGTAGGCCATCGAGCAATATTAATTGATTTAATATCGAAATCTATACTATCAATAAAATCTTTAGCATAAATCATAATAAGTTACGTAAACTAACGAAATACTTGCTTATTTAATAATCGTAGCAGTTCCTTGTCAATATTGATAAGCAAATTTGCTTCATATGTGATGTTTCATTGTGAATAAACAGTTACTCAACATATTGTTCCTCTTTTCTTTATACCTGAACCATTCATTAAACTGATATTCTTTTATATTTATGTTGATACAATCATTTTCTATCCGGCGATCGACTTGATGCTTTAGCATCAAAATCTCTACTTGTTACACTCCTGCGCCGCGTATTATGTGATAAACGAAAATCGGCACCGGAAGTTATTTCCGCTTGAAAAATAACATAAGTGATTTTCCTTAATTTATCGTGTTAGAATCGAAATAACATCGGCCTGAGAGGTGTATATCGGCTACGGCCTTCGTGGTCAATTCCTGCGCATCAAAACTCCAAACCGGTGTTAAATAGCCGATATACACCTCTCAGGCCGATGTTATTTCTTAAATATATTCTTCTTTAGAATTTCGAATATTGATATAATTCGATATAATATATGCTCCAGCAGTGGAAAGAAATAATTCATTACATTAACAAAAAAAAGGAAAGAAAATAGTTTTTAACTGCAGACCTGATCACGTTTAGGCAGTTTTGAGCAATGAGATAGCGACACTTTTAATGAACTTAAAATTATGCCCAATTAAAACGTCTACCAAATGTTGTGAATAGTTCCTCGTTGAATAGTGCGTAAAAGTTTTGTAATTTTCGCATTAAATTAGGATTTATATATGGATGAAGCCTTCCTTTTCCTTTTTCTAAACACTCGACACTTTGCTTTCTTTGTAAACAAAAGAAACCCCTGTTTTCCACATACGCAAAATGTTCTTTTTTGAAAAACTTCTCAACATTTAGAAAGCGTTCTATTTTGTTTAGTTCTTCTGATGGATTTCTAGCAAATTCGTCACCATCAACAATATGTATTTGCTCTACGGGAAAATATTCCAACCATTTCTTAAGATATCTGATATAAATAGATTTTGACACTAATGTTTTTCTGCGATTTACTTTACCAGTTTCCGGATCAATCACGTTTTCGTCTATTGTAGTTCCTGTTAAGAATTGAGGACGTCCGACTGCCATTTGAACAAACTCGGATTCTAATCTTGAAATTGGGTTTCGAACTGTAAGAATCAGTTTCATTTTTGGATTATATTTAAACATACGCTCAGGGGCTTCTTCGCTGATAAAATATTGCGGAGAATTTTCAATTGTAAGCTGGTCATGTGTACTGCATGGCATCTGATGCCGATACCATTCCGGTCCACGCATATATCTTAAATTAAAATACTGAACTCCCTCCGAGTTCATCTCCATGGCAACATAAGGGTGCTCGTTTAGAAAAGTTCGCACAGAACCAGTTCCGCATTTTGGCACTCCGATCATCACAACTTCCGGTTTCCTTTGAATACAGTTCCCATATCCTCTAATATCCTTCCGGCCTAAAATAACTGGCATTTCAATAATGTTTACTTTATCAAATGTCCGGTAAATGGTGTAATTATTTTCAATAGCAGACGACATGATCTTTGACACTGACACATAGACTGGACCACGAAAAATATGATAAAATAAAACTGTCCACAGTAATGTAATGGTCACAGTCGTAGTCACTAAGTTGAATGTGTTTGATATTCTTAAACATTTTTGAATCCTTAAAACAAAAGCACAGAATCTCATAATAAAAATTGTTCATAGTATGAATCACAATAATTTGATTTGAACACATCAGAAATAAATCAGTGACTTGTATGTTTATGTTGAAATATTTGCATGCATGTTGGTTTGAACAATTTTTCAATGGTTTTAATTATTGGTAACGTAAAAAATGTTATCAACTAGATTTTATCTCAATAGATACAATTTTCATGAAAACATTCTTATTAACCTTAAGGCAATTTAAACTTACACGGCGTTTAAGTTTACAATTACGCATTATTAAAGATACATTATTGTGGCGTTTGTACTTATATTATCTTAAATTATTACCCCTCACTTTTTTCGTAATGCTAATTTCCCATAGGCCTCTGGGAGTTATTTTTACTGTTAATGCAAGTGTACCACGTGACTAAGAATTTTGTACTGTTACATAGGTAACAGTATTTTTTAACAGTATAAAATCTGGTCACGTGGTCTATTTTCTAAATAAAATAAAATAAAATGGCCGCCATTTTTTTCTCGATTCATTCTTATTTTCGACGTTAAACCCCGATTTGACATCAATTTTTTCTCTGGAGTAACTTTGACACCCATAACATTTAGTTGTTTGCACCCTGGTGTGCTTTTCGTGTATAAAATATCTTTTTGTTGAATAGTCAAAAAGTGAACATCCGTTTTCAACGGAAGTACTTGCAATGTAAATAATTATGTGTCAAACTGGAACATGCAGACGATTTAAGCATGCAACAAAGGATTATCTAACAATTTTAATCAGTGAAACGTTACAGATATGGTGGATAGACATAGGATATCATCGTTATTTTGTCAAAAACCATGCTAAGAATATTCTGGAAACAGAAGGATCAGATTTCACAGATCATAACCGTGTAAATTGGTTAGTGTTTTGTTTTCTGAATAAAACCTAGCTTATTGTATGTTTATGATTTGTAGATATCATCACTTGCATAAAAAATAAAAGAAAAAGAAAACTTCTCAAGTAGGCCTAAAGTACACTTAAAACTTAAAAGGTAAGGACAGTTAAGTTATTGTTACTCTTGGTTTATTTTTGTTACAGTTCAAGATTTAGTTGACAATTTTAGATCATTGCAGTATTTTTGTTCGGGGTAATAAAATAAATAAAACATGGGTTTGTGAGTAACAGTAAAAATATCATCCCGAGGAAAAAACTGTTACCCTCGGCTTCGCCTCGGGTAACAGTATTTTCCTTGGGATGATATTTTTACTGTTACCCACAAACCCATGTGTTATTTATATACTCTCTAGTTTAATTGTCAGTGACGTTCATAAAGTTTTTAAAACAGTATTTCCTAAATGAAACGTATTTAATATTAAACTGTTAAGTATCTATGCTTAATAAACCTTAATATTGAAAATATGCATTTATTTTTCAGAAATTCCTATGGCCAATGAACAGTTTTTACAGTGTGACTATACCTAACTCTTCTTTTGTCATCACGAGTATTATCCTCGCGTTATTCGTTGACGTCACCATAAGTTCCGTTTTCACAATAATTGTGATTTTCACCATAATACCATTTGTTGTCATGGCAGCTGTAGTTTCGTAATAAAATCCTGACATCATCAAATTCAAATGCGTTATCACCATCATAATTGTGAAACGGTTGAATTACATTTTTGATTGGATTTTACGTCGCGCCAACGCAATATATGAGCCGCGTCACGACAAAACCAACGTAATGGCTTTGCGACCAGCATGGATCCAGACCAGCCTGTGCATCCGCGCAGTCTGATCAGGATCCATGCTGTTCGCTATCAGTTTCCCTACTTGTAAAAGAGTTGGTATGCGAACAGCATGGATCCTTATCAGACTGCGCGGATGCGCAGGCTGGTCTGGATCCATGCTGGTCGCAAACCCATTATGTTGGTTTTGTCATGACGCGACTCATATGTCATATGACTTTTTTCCAGCTTTATTGGTGAAGGACAACATCAGATGTCTCTTCTTAAATTATTTCAGGCACGAACGGGTAAATGAGTAGAACCACCGACGTTCCGAAAGCGGGATAGCTTCATCACATGAAAGAATCCAAAGACCCTAGCGGAAATCGAACGCACTTCGGTCAGGGGCAAATGGTTTGAAGTCAACGACCTTAACCACTTGACCACGGTTGCCCCGATTTACATGTATATATAAATATACGTGTGATCATGTTGCAATAAATGTAAATCAGTTATAGCCCAAATTCGAAATATATTTCCGTGAAATACAGATTTCCTGGCATACGAGTCCCGTTACCGACTTTTCTTAAATCTAACCTTACATTGAAAACGCACTGCATTGCGTTTTATGTTATCAGACAAAGGCGCTATATAAGAAAACCATGTGTAATAAAATCATGTGTAACAACAATTTATGTTTCAATTCCTAACTCAAAAGTAAAACAATACCCTCACCGTAGGGAACGTGTTACAATATCGCGTTTTTTGGTTACAGTTTAGAATTTTCAAGATGGAGGATTATTTATGGGAAGAGAGGTAGGTGTTTTTTATTCAGATCCATAGAACAAATAGTTTAGTTTCCAAAAGATTTTTTCAGAATCCGGTATCTAGTCATATATTTCTTCAGACCCTGCACCGCAGATTTATCTCTATATTGTCTCATAAATGTGCAGATTTGACGGTTCAAAAATTCGAATCGAGAGACCAATGCATTTGACATCATTTAAGTATGCCTAGAAAAAGTAAATCTACAAAACGTTAGTCCTTTGTGTTTAGAAACGTTTATAAAAGTAAACGACCAGTTGAACCTGTTTTCCTGTTGAAAAAATAAACAATGTTACAGTATAGAGCGATGTTAATTTTGAAGGGTTACAGCATAGACCTAGCGACTTTGATCTAATTTTGTTACAGTTTATACCCAGATTTCGGTTTCAGTTTAGATACTTGCCATATTTCAAACAAAGTTCGTGTATCCATTATTTTTATGAAATAACCCATACCTTTCTATTTAATAAATTATATTCTTGAAAGGTTGTATTACTTTTTTCTTCAGCAGAAAAATTATAGTTTGCTATTTTCCTTACTTTAAGTTTCAGATTGAGACTTTTTGCAGAATAATTAAGTAAGGTTATGAAGCCTGCATACCACAGATAAGCTCTTAAAAGACACTATTAACAAGCAGGCAATACCATAAGGGTGATTAAACAGTATTTAAGTGAGCAATAATTGCAACCTTAAATTTTATTTTATGTTGGAGTTTCCATCTACAATAATGTATTTTATAAGTATTTAAAAAGGGTTTGTTACGTTTGGCTTTCTTGGATTTTAAGTTTCAACTTCACTGAGGTCATGTGAAAACATTCCTGCTTTAGTGTAAAGAAATACCCAGATACCCTTTGTGAAACATTTCAGACACGAGCGGGCACCTGACTAGAACCACCGACCTTCCGTAAATTACCTTGATTGATTCCTCACATACAAAGAATCCAAAGTCATGATGGGATTTCAACTACAGCAGTAAGTGAAAGATGATTTGAAGTCGACAGCCTTATCCCGACTCTGCCACTATTATGTACCTCCATCAGGCTCACTAGAGAAGATATTGTAATTGTCTGACCTTAATTTATACTCTATAGCTTTCAACATTATTTTCTTTTTCAGAAACATGAAAACTTCTATACAAGATGTATGAAATAAGAAAAAAACGACTTTTAATTAATAATAACAAAATAATCGTAACTTCAACAAAGAAGCATTCGAAATAACGCCATGATCATGATTTGATTTGAATGTTTTGGTATCCCCGATTGCAACCGAAACCAGTTACTGAGCGGATGAGATTGCACACACATGTGTACGACAGACGGACGAATAGCCATCGGGCCAATAAGCTCACAGAGATTTAAATGTCTATGTAACATTTATACATTTTACCTGGTATATATAGAAAATATCTAGTCTAAACTGTAACCGAAATCTGGGTATAAACTGTAACAAAATCGGATAAAAATCGCTAGGTCTATGCTGTACCCGTGCACAAATCATCTCGCTCTATACTGTAACATTGTTTATTTTTTCAAACGCATTTAACGAACAGGAAAATAGGTTCAACTGGTCATTTACTTTTATAAACGTTTCCTAACATAAAGGACTAACGTTTTGTAGATTTACTTTTTCTAGGCATGCATAAATAATGTCAAAATTGGAGAAAAATGCATTGGTCTCTCGATTCAAATTTTCAAACTGTCAAATCTGCACATTTATGAGACAATATAGAGATAAATCTGCGGTGCAGAGTCTGAAGAAATATATGACTAGATACCGGATTCTGTTTCTTACAAGCAAAGCACAACAACATCTTTTAGAAACTAAACTACTTGTAGTGTGGACCGGAATAAAAATCACCTACCTGTCCTCCCAACAAATAACCCTCCATCTTTAAAATTCTATACTGTAACCAAAAAAAAAACGCGATACTGTAACACGTTCCCTACGGTGACCCTGTCACTCTAAAATAGTACTATCGATTTCATATGCAAATGACTTGGGCAAGCAACTTGTCCCATAGTCGTTAATTAAAATATACATCTTTAATACTTTATTTTTCCTTTTTTTTATTAAAATGAGGCACAAAAAGGGTAGTTATTACGCATGTCGCCAAAATTTTACATGTATAGTATCTCATATTTAGCCAAGTTATTTTTTTAAAGTACCCTATGAAATGTTTTATGATTCAAACTTAGCATCTGGTCCAAGCATGTATAAACGTTTTTTCCTCGATGTCTCCGCATATTTTGGATCAGGGTCATTAAGCGCACTTTGCGAAAAATCAACTCTGTATTTTGAAGATGGTGGATTCTTTCCGTACACTTCCGCTACTTCTCGCGTTAGATGTGGCGAGTTCCCGCAGCACAGTCCAATGTACTGTATCCCGGCCTCTTTTGCCTGCTCTGCAAACCTTCGAATGTCATTTCTGCTACACTGGACACAGTCTAGGTCTGCCGGATACACATTCTTCCCTAAAGAAATAATTAAAACATCTCATCACTGACAAATGCAAGTTTGATTCAAAGAACGATAAAGCTGTACATTCTCATTCGAAAGTACTGCTAATCAAAGTCATATTTCTTTTTAACTTTAACTTGACTGTTTAATATTCAGTTAATTTCAATTCTTATGTAAAATAACATTACCATACTTAAAACCTATTTTCATTCTTAATGTTTTTAAGCTCTACTTTAAAAAAAATACAAAAGCTTATTCTTACCATAAAGCTTAAGTCCACACTGGAAGAAAGGCACTTGAAGACGATTGTCTTAGCTTAAGGATGGCAATAAAGTGAAAAATCTTCTGTTTTTTCAAAAATACGATGAACGTGAGCTGTTTTGTTTTCTTAATTTCGATAAAAAAAATAATTGATCACCTGTATTTGGGTCTGTCAATGAATAGAATGTTTTCATCTTTTCCGTACACCTGTAAGGCACGGGGAGGGCGGCCACTGGGCACTAAGATGACGAAAGAAAATACATAATTATGCTATTTTGTGCTAAACATTCATCTTTTATTTATTATTGTTTATTTATCTGGGTTTTTTTCATGTCTTATCTGAAGATAAAAACTAATAAACATTTTTTTACTTTGAAGTTCGATTTGTTTCAGGTGTCAGACAGCTGACTTCATTTTGAAAGAATATTTAATTCTTGTATTTGATTTTAATGGTAAAAAGAGCCAAAAAAAAATAACATAACATAACAAAATAAGTCATGTTTATTTGCTGACCTTGCACACTTTTTGGATTTCCTTGGCCAAAGGCAGCATGGTGTCGGGCCCTCGTGCACAATTTATTCCAACAACTGCCGCGCCCTGAGCTTCTAAACGGCGGCATGCCTCGGTTACAGGAATTTCGTCTGTTAGCTTGTCCGGAAAATAGGCCGTCATAGTAATGGCCGCTTGCAATCCTAAAATAAAGTTCATAAAAACAACGTTGTTAGTTGAACAATTATCTATAATTCAGTTTTTGTACCAATAATAACTGAATGAGGAAGACGGCCCCTTTTATACAGACGACATTTTATATTTTAAAGAAAACAGAGATTGGCAGTGATACTTCATTTTCGAATTATTAACTGAATATAAGTATATTCATCTGAGTTAGCAGACGATACAATAATCAGAATCTCCCATCAACAATTGAACACGCCTATCTCAATACATTTTCTGCCTATCCTGCCCGTGCTCTTACCTTGCCCGTGCTCCTTGATAGCCTTTAGAGCAATCTCTGCCTCGCCAAATGAGCTGTGGGTTTCACCAATGATATAATCAGCCCCGCCTTGTACCGCCCACACGATTTGTTCCTGTGTTTAAAAATGATCTATGACGAATATGGGTAATACGCGTGATGCATTACAAACAAAAAATGTACATGGAAATGTAGCCTGGGGAAAAACTAATACAAACATGGCTTCTCAACTGTATTATATCATTTTAATGAGCGTTTGTTTCATTTACATAAATAGGTGATGAATTAGTTTAACTTTGGCTCTCATTTCTGGGGAATTGCGGTCAGCAAAGCCCTGCTAAAATCGCAATCCCCGCAAATTCCAATGTTGCTATATCGTCTCCAATTTTTGGTGGGAAAGTACTTAACCACTGTATTATTTGGACAGCAAGGCAGTAAGGAGACAGCTGTGCTAGATTAGTCGTAGATGGTGATGCAACTTCGATAAATAATGACAACATATTGCCAGCTAGTTTTTTTTGTTGTTCTTTCTTTTTTTAACAATTGAAGTATATGTTCATCTCTATCATTTGTTCAATATGTGTAGATATTGAAGGATCACTCTGAAAGGTGTCCCTTCATTTAATCGCCAAGTTATGATTAGCTTTACCTTGTACATGTCATAGATTGTCTGTGAAACCACCGGGTCGTTTGGTACGTACAGGGGCGTGTTTGAAATATTTCCCGCCATAAGTTTGCCATATTCGTCTGCTACTTCACGTGCTATGCGCAGTGCGTCTCTATTGAGCTTTTCGACCACATCGTTTCTGCCTAGACGCGCCATTTGGCCTCTGTGAGCGTAGTACTATATGCAATGGTAGTTTGTTATTTTTATTTTATTGTGTTTTGAATCGAAATTGCATATGCTTGCAAAATTAATTTAATATTTATCTTTATAATTAATTCATGAAAATCAGAATCAATCATGATTATGAAAGAAAATAGAGACACAGAAAAGATACATACTGTAAATGCTTCTACAACGTCACTTCCGGAAAACACAAATTCTTCATGCACCGATCGGATTACCGACGGACGCTCAAGTACTACTTCCGGTAAAAAGTTTCCGAGGGCCAAAAATCCGCGTCGTTCGACTTCCCACATATAACCCTCAGCACATAAAATAGTTCCACCATCTTTAAGCCGTTCTGTTAAAACTGAAAGACAAAATATGATCATGTAAGGAATAATAACTTGTTTCAGTAATAAGTTAAAAGAGATAAAATCAAATTGCACAAATGTCGGGTCAAGGATTTTATAATCTTAAAAAAACTTAGCTTTTTAAAAATCAAACTTTTCTCTCTTTTTCACAGATTATTATTATCATCATCATCATTATTATGGTAGAATATATATACATACCTCCTGACATGGTTCAAACCTTGTTTTGTTTAAGATAGTCCAGTGTATCTGTACTAATATTTCACTGTATATGTGAACTTGTGAGGCCTGAGTGATCTAATGTTTGTTTGTTGTAATATAAGTCAATGTTAGTTTTTTAAAGAATGTATTTCTATAACTGCAAGTCCAATAATCAAACTGAAGTGTATCCATGTAGTGATAAAATTGATAACTATTCTATGTGATTACCCTTGACAGACTTCGATATGCTTAACTGCAACGACTGACACAGTTGTGAATTTTAAATTAAACTTTTAACGTTCACCTGAGTTTCTCATTACCATTATGATAACATCAAATGAAAATGGCGGTTACAATCTAGATCATAATGTTTTCAAAATAAATTCAACGGTTTTTTTAAAAGATCTGTTATTAGCTCAAAAAGGTCGGCATGCATGAACGTTTTATCTATCAAACAAATGCACGAGATAATAGCACGATAATATAAACTTTAAGTTTTTATCAAATGTTAAAATGTAAAATTTGTCTTTTTTTTTGTTGAACAGATAATAAATAAAAATGCTTGACAATCAAATCAATTTTAAATGCCTTCGAAATACGAGTTTTACACACACAACCAAGTAAGCAAAAGGTAATAAAATACTTTTTTGTTAAATAATCTGAGAATATTTACAATATACTCGTATTATATCATCCCCACTGATTGCACAGCATAATTCTTTAAATTTATTTCTATGTTTTACTACGCGAACAACAACGCTTTTATATGTATTGTTAAACTTGTAACTGCATAGCCAGTTATAAATGAAAAAAAAAAGTTAGTAAAGTTATTTCAGTTATTCAGATGTGACGAAACACTTATTACCTACATATGTAAAAAAAAGTAATTGGTTTTTTTTCTGAAAATTTAGAGACCTAATAATATTTTGAAGAGCCTTCCATCATCTTTTCCACTTTCAGTTTTGTTCCATGACCTGCTTAAACGTGAACACGCATCATAATTGTGAATATCATTTCAGTTCCATATGTTTATAACAGTTCAAATAGTAGGCCATTCAAATCTAATCTAATCTATTTCTAGCGATCCATATATAGACAATACGAGGTCAAAGGTTGTGTTAGTTTATACGAGACATTACTGTTAGAATATGAAACTTTAGAATGAACTACATTTATCATATTTACAGCAATCGTCCAAAATACATTTTAATTTTAAGAAACAAACAAGAATAGTTCACATTTTGATTAATTTTATTGTAACATGACATAAACAGATTATCGCTTTCTCTTGAGGAAATTGGCTGGAGAGAAATGTTTCATTGAACCGGAAGCCTCAATTTTTGGTGCTGCATTTTTCAGCCTCTGTGATGAAGAGCTTCTTCCGCCAAGGCCTACCCGCTTCCGGAGCTTGTTAATGAATGTCGTGTTTTCGTCAGCATGACCTGGAAGAAAATAATTATAATCAGTTAAAGATAAGATTATGGCCTTGTTAAGGTTTGAACTGAAGTGGCAGTACAGTGTTTTCATTTCATAAGAATCGTGCCATGTTGTATACGTACAAATTCGTAACTTGGGGTTTGAAGTGTAGTATATGTAACAGCAAGGAGTTAAGAGTGACAAGAACAAATAAAACATACACTGACAAAGAGTCTTTTGTTATGACGTGTTATACATGTACGTCATGACGTTGAACATACATATTATAATACATGTACTTTCTGGTTCGAGACCCACTACAAGACCAACCGGTACAAGCCGTCTCCGGTTTTATTACCAATAACAATTTTCTAAGACTGGTCAGTATGTTGTCTATAATGTAATAGTGCGACTAAATGTGCTACTTTCATAGCAGCATGACATAACTGATCATTCTTTCCCCTGTAAGTATACCCAATAGTCTATATAATTAATATGAAATTAGGTGCTACCTATGGCGCGGAAAGCTCTTATGAATTATGATTTTAGCATAACATATTTAGTGTACATGTAAACCAGATCTTTTTTGAATAAACAAAACGAATAAATTGGTGGTGTTCAACCTATCATCGGAACCGAAAAACTCCGGACCTCTGCGCATGCGTCGGCGTTTGGAAAATCCCGTCCGCCATTTTTGTTAATCTCTAATCACAGTTGTTGTTTTTACGTTATTTTTAATGTGCTAATTTATCAAAAAGGATGTTTGAATAACTTTTTATATTTATAATCGTTACTATAATTCTTATCAATGAAATGTAGGTTTATTTTCTGATTTTGTTCATCATTCTTTCACCGGAAGTGTTACTTAGCATGCGTCTGCAATAGTCTGAATTATGTAGACGCTCATTAAAAGCGCTCAAAAGGATTTCAAAATGGCGGCGCCCAGTTAACTAAGGTTTTTTTCACAGCTCATTAGGTATAGGATATATATTTTTTTGAAATTTTCATTTAGTTTGAATTTGATTTCCTTTGAACTGATACGCGTCATACATGTTATCTAAGAGCGCTACAGCCCTCGCGGGGCCTTCGGCCCCGCTCGGACTTTCCGCGTATAACATAAAACCATCCAAAATACATGCAAATCGTCCATGTTAGGTGCACCTGATACCCCCCCCCCCTCCATCAGTAAAGATTGAAAGTCGCCATATGAACTTTAGGCGTTGGTGCGTCGTAAAACCCAAATGAAAACAATAACAAAAACCATAATAATATGAAAAAGGCAAAGCCTCAAAGCGAGCTCGATGTACTTTTTACGTGAAATAGTATGAAATAATCGCTCATTTTTATTTCAAATGCAGTAAGGAGTGCGTGTGACGTCACACGTACTGTGTTAAATACGGCTCCGCCCCTGTCGTGAAATGAATAACGAGTTTTGAAAACGTTGATAAAACTTTGTTTATTTTATTTCACTCTATAATTTTTCAAGCGAAATAAAGATTATTTTAAGTGAAATAAATGTAAACCTTAACACGTTTGCGACATTAAAATAGTGTACTTGATTTGTTTGTTTTGCACGTGCTGTTTGGCGCTACATTGTGACGTCACGTAAACAATACTTTAAACGTCTGTACAGCGTTAACGACTGAATAAAAGATATTGGTGTTCGGATCCATTTTCTTAGTTAGACCATTTTCTTTCATTCTAGATAGTTTTCACAACAAAATTTGACAAAAAATTGTTTTTATTTATCAGATTTTTCAAACAAAATGGCGTCTTCGATTTTCATTTTTTATACACAGCTTCCGTTATTCTGGTTCCCTGTCCAATTATGGTTCCCATAGACGTGTGCGGGTGACCAGTCTACACATCCGTTTTCAGTCAGAATTCCTCAGTTTTTATCGTTTTCTTTAAATACGAAATGTTGCGATGTGTCCAATTCGGTACTTTGGACGAAAGTTTTCAAAACCATCACTTAGCAGGTATACTCGCGTTACCGTAAAGCTCGCTTTGCGAGCAGGCCCTTCGGGCCAGCTCGTCGAGCTCGCTATTAAACTAGAGAATAAAGGCACTTGGCCGGCATGTTGACTTCCCAGATCCAGAAAAAAAAATTCAATACTTACCCATGGCATGAGTTAAATCGGCTAATGGAGTCACAGTGGTTGTTGTGGTAACAATATTCTGTGTCTGAAAATAATATATTTGGAGTTAATTTAAAACAGGATTTAAAATTGTTTTTACTCTAGATATTTATCATTTATTAAATATTTGATCAGTTGTGGAAAATCCAGTTTAACGTTAAAGAAATAAAGGTCATTTGCATAAAATGCAACGTCAATGCACATTTATGACGTTAACTCTCGAGCAATACCAGGTGTAAACAAAGGCAAGATCCAGGGGAGATAAATCTATAAATAGCACTCTTCAACATTAGCTAGATCTACTCGAGAAACCATTCAATATCATTTGAAGTTCCGTATAGCAAACCAGAAAAAATTATGACGTATTGCATTCAGAATCAGAAGATATGATGTACCGATAAGTAGAATAATAATTTCAGTTTCCCAATCTCATCTCAATTGAGGAACAATCTGAGGAACGTTAATTTTGACGCCTGAAATGTAAAAAATAACAATATACCTTTGGTGCCTCAACTGTGTTTTCTTGGACCTGTTCTTGCTGATTTGCTGAGTCATCATCTTTGTTCTCTTCTTCCGGTTCCGATTCATTGTCGTCTGCTGCAGATGTGGTTGGTTCCTCTGTTTCCTGGAAATGTGTCACGTGATCGGTGCCTGTTGGACCAACGTCTGCATCAACAGTTGCTTCTATCTCTGTGCGATCTTCTGCTGATAAGTCTACGACAAGGTGAGTATTCTTATGGCATCTGTGAATATATTTGAAATCGAACAACTCTCTTTACTTAGAAGAAGAAGAGGTAGAAGAAGAAGAAGAAGACGTAAAAGTAGTAGTAGTAGAAGAAAAAGAAGAAATAGTTTATTTTGGTAATTTATACATTTACAAATATCTCGATTACAAACAATGATTACAAATACATTAAGTCTGTGGTCACATGACAAAAGCAAAGAAAACAAAAAGTAATAATATTAAAGACATAAAATGTTTAACTAATGGCAATCTTGAATATTTGAGTAAGTTTGTTTTATAGTTTATTTTAATTTCATAAATAGGTATTAACAATTACGCATAGATCATATGTTTTTGCGTACAACAAAATAGATCTTCAACCATTCTATTACAAAATGTTATTTTTTATTTAATACAACCTTATATCAAAAAGCAACTAATATTTAATTACTTTTAATTATTAGTAACTGCGTTGTTTACAAATAAATTGTTCTCTAAACCAAAAGTCAGGTGTGAATTTTGGGTAGAATTCTTCGTATTTATCATTTTATTCTTGTGAACGACACCATGTCAGATCAAGAGAAAAGTTATATCAAACGATTCAACAAAAATTAATATCAGTTTAACCCTTAACCCGCTGACTTTCTGTAATGGATTGGCCCTGCTTTGCATTTGGAACAGTCCATTTTAATATGAAGAAATTTCAATATCAAAATTAAAAAAGAAATGAATAACCAACAGTTTTGAGCCTTGACAAACTGTCCGGTTGACATTTTTATTTTGGTGGCAAAGCTTAATCATCTTCTGTTTTAGCAGTACAAAGGTAAGCCACTATCAGATGATTTTCGCGCCATCTTTTCGTATTTCAACTTAGAACAAATGTTGATTATATGAAGTTAGAAAATAAAAATATTACTTATGCAACATCCGGCCATGTGTTACTTCTTCAGTAAGGTCAATGTCACTTGTTTCGGAAGTTGGAAATTTATTTTCCGATACGTCTGGAAGATTCGAGAACGCTGGTGCTGGTCGGAGCATGTTTGTGTCGTCTGCTGTATCTAAAATACGTACATGTATAATACATATGAGCCGTGTCACGACAAAACCAACATAGTGGGTTTGCGACCAGCATGGATCCAGACCAGTCCGCGCAGTCTGATCAGGATCCATGCTGTTCGCTTACCAACCCTATTACAAGTAGAGAAACTGATAGCGAATTATGTAGGTTTTGTCGTGACACGGCTCAAATACAGATTACATTATAATACTGCACGTTTGTAACGTCGCTTTTCATTGGATAATCGTGACGTTTATATAGTTTTATATACACGGCTGCTATCGATTCATGAAGAAATGTTACCTTTTTTTCTAAAAAATGATGGTTGCTGTATTATAAATTCGTTATAAAGATCGTTGACAGGATATATGGTCGTATATAAACGGCTCTTTGCAATATAACCCTCGCCTAGCGGCTCAGGTTATATTTACAAATAGCAGTTTATATAGGGCTTCATAACCTGTCAACAATCTTTATAACTAAAAATATATGTGGTAAGCTACAATTTCATAATTGTAAGAATCTTTGAAGAGATAAAATGTGCGTTTACAAAGCAAGGACCATCTTTTCACGTACCCTCTCCTAATTTCGGTTCGGTACTCTGCATTGTTTCTTGTCGGTGTGGTTTGATAATGTCGGGGGTTTGGAGGGGATGGGTGCGATGTTCTATGAAAATCGTTCCTTGTTGAGTTATGTTATCATAAATAATTTTCATTATTCTTTTTAATAATGCTTATTACTTTTACCTGTCTGAAAATACGGTACATAAAATTGCATTTTTCGGTACATGCATATTAAGATTAAAAAATGGCAGATTTCTCTACTGTGAAAACTATTCATTTTAAAACATTTTATTTTCAATTATATTTTAGCGAAACATTGATAATGAACAACTTTGTAAACATATTTAAATCTCTTGGAATTCTTTCAAATAGGTAATTCAAAATTTCCTCTATTTTAATGTTGAGATATTGATCTAAAGTATGAAAAAGTCATTTTAAATAAATATTTTATTTTTACTGCTAACACGTTGTTAGGTAAAACAGTGCTCACCTTGAATTTCCTCTAGGCAGCTTTCAAGGTCAAGGCAACGTTTCCATAGTTGCTGCTTCTCTTTAATAAGGTCACCAATTTCATGCTCAAGGTTGGTCTCTTTCAAACGCAATCCTGTTACCTTAGTTACGACAAAAAATACAACAGAATACTTTGTGGTTAAGGTTTCTATTTGAAAGACCCTTGGTTATCCTATGATACCAATTCATTTAAGAAAGTTTAATTGAGTTAAACTTTAAAAGTGCATGCACACTAACCATTTAAAAAAATGAAAGATACGTTTGACGATGCCCAAACAGAAATATATTTTTTTTACAAATTTTAAAAACCAGTTTAGATACCAGGTTTAAAAAAAGAAGATCATGAGTTTTACAATTTTATAATGCGTGGACATTGCATTGCATAGGGCACACATTCAGAGTGGTAACCTTTAGAGTGCCTACAGTTTTGAATACAATATATTACACATTATAAATTCTCAGACTGACTACCATTGATTACTGATTGGTTAATTCGTGCTTCCTGATCATTGTCTGCACTGTTCGCTATTTAGTCAGTCTATAGATTTAATTCCCCCCTACAATGATAAATAGTTGTGTCCAAATTTATAAAAAAAAGGATTAGTCCATTTAATATACCGGTATTTAGAGGGTTGAGATATTAAAACTATTTACCTGACGCTGAAGCTCTCTGTAGGTCACCTGATTTAAATGATGAGAAACTATTCTCTTTATGAGGTTGTAACCACCGGAACTCTCTGGTCCTAAAGATAAACAAGAAGTATCTTTAAAAAAGATACTCGGCCGAACTAAAACTGGTTAAATTTCATTTCGTATCTTAGGAAACATGGAAAAAGAATCATAAGAATTAGGATGTTGAGCCTAGTATTGAATTTTACGTTTTAAATTTTGAAATATTAAAAGGATATGCATATATATGTTGGCAAATACAAAGTTTTTTTAATAGAAACAAAATCTTTAGTCTGAAGTTAATCCTTTAAAAGTAAAGAAAAAGTAAATAAGAACTTCAAACAAAATAATTTATTTCGTACTCAGTTTTTTCGTCTAAGTTCACTTTTACCGTCATGTGATTTTTTAATTTCTATTATTGTGAATGTCGTTTCAGCTAAAAAAAACATTCAAGTTATTGAAATTTATTCCAATCGAAATTTTAATTAAAAGTTTATAAATGACCACGTTTTGTTGATACGAAATACCCAAATCAACATATTTGCAACACCTTTGGAAATAACGAAAGAAAGCTAAAATCCGAAAAAAAAAAAAGAACCAAAAGAGAGCCTTCTTATCTAAAATTCTTTAGCAAACATTTATTATAAACAAACAATCGTTAGCGGTTAAATTAATACTTAATAAATATGTTTATAAAATACATGAAAATTATAAACTTTGTATATAACTGATATTAATTTATACCAGATGAATTCGTTTTCTTGTGTGATTTTCGCTATTTTCATGCGCACGAGTAAACGGAAAAGTGGACGTTAAAAGTGGTGGTTTTCACTAATGTGTGACAAAATGTATAACTCGATCGTGAAAACAACGTAAAATAATCTGTAGGATACTTGAAAATATAGAACTTATAATGTGTAGGAGAAGGCATGGTTAAACAGAACTTAAGTATCTGAAATTAAAGTTGTACTAAGGCCATCCTTGAGTAAAATATTTTAATCCTAGAAATGTATTGACACCAATGAAATTTTTATTGAATATGTCTTATTTGAATAAAAGAATAAAGAAACTATGTATGAGAAGCTGCGTTCCCTATTTCGTGACAAGTAAAGTTGGTCCTTTCTTTAAAAAAAACTGCCATTTTTTTGATGACACTATATATTAATATTGTGACCACCTATAGTGTATAGAACTATAAACATGACATATCTACTCTGTATCAAGTCAAAACGTGTTTATTATATATATATACAAAGAGATTTTGTAGCAATTTTAAAAAAAATAATTATAGAATTTGAGCATAGTATATGTTTAAATTGATAGTAAAAGAACTTATGAATGTAGATATTTCGTTTCCAGACTCATTAAGATCAATCAAAAATTAGACGCGTGCATCTTTATGTTACAAAACGAGTTGGTTAGAGTGACCTCTCCTGATAACACTGCAAATGGCGTAAGGGGTCAAAAGGAAGGTGACTGTTGCGTAAGGATTTAAAAGGGAAATTACTGTTGCGCTCAAAAGAAAGTCAGTTACAGCGACTTCCCATGATATTGTATAAGTGGATATTTATGTGTTAGAAAAAATTTGCGAATGTCCAAAAGTGGACTTTTTGCTTGGAGAAATATTTGCGAAAATATGCTTTCTTGAATTTAATACTGATTTTGTGATATAAATTAACTATGCAGTTACATGTAAATAATATGACATTAAGTTCTATTAAGTTGTTTAACACCTGTTTTATTTACACAATGTTTGAAATATACATTGTTAGTTTGAAAAAAGGACATGATCGCACATTTGTTTGTCATATTTTGAAGCATTCCTTTGTTATATAAATAACCTATTATGTTATTAACACATATAATGATTTATTAAAACATTTTTGATTTGTGAAGTCCAAACTCAAACAAACAAACAAACAAGCAATGAGGAATGATTAATCTAAGTACCTGAACAGTCAAACTTATTCATATATGATGTTGTATGAAAACGTGTTTTCAAATGAAAGGAGAAATTTTGCATAAAAAGAAATAATTTTTGCGTGATCAAATATTTGCGAATATTTCCACCACTTATTATTGCCAATGGGTCAGGGTTCCACATGAAAGTGACTGTTTCACTACAAATCAAGTCGGTTAGAACGAATTCACCTGATTACATTGCAGAGTTCCACAGGGAGGTGACTGTTGCACTACAAATTGTGTCAGTAAGAGTGACCTCTCCTCTTAACATTGCAAATGGCGTAAGGGTTCAAAGGAAGGTAATTGTTGTGTTTGTTAAAAAAGAGTCAGTTAGAATGACCTCCTAATGTAAAAGTTGCAAATGGCGTAAGGGTTCAAAGGGAGGTAACTGTTGCGTTCAAAAAAAGAGTTGATAAGAGTGACCTTCCATGAAAACATTGCAAATGGCGTAAGAGTTCTCAAAGGAGGTGACAGTTGCGCTCTAAAAAAGAGTCAGTTAGAATGACCTCCACTGAACACATTGCAAATGGCGTCAGAATTCAAAGAGGGTAACTGTTGCGATCAAAAGTGCTGATTAGAGTGACCACCCCTGAACACATTACAAATGGCGTAAGAGTTCAAAGGGAGGTAACTGTTGCGCTCCAAAAAAGAGTTTATAAGAGTGATCTTCCCCTGATAAAATTGCAAATGGCGTAAAGTTTCAAAGAAAGGTAACTGTTGCGTTCAAAAAAGAGTCAGTTAGAATGACCTCCCCTGGAAACATTGCAAATGGCGTAAGAGTTCTCAAGGGAGGTAATAGTTGCGCTCAAAAAAGAGTCAGTTAGATTGACCTCCCCTGAAAACATTGCAAATGGCGTCAGAATTCAAAGGGAGGTAACTGTTGCGCTCAAAAACAGTGTTGATTAAAGTGACCTGCCCTGATAATATTGCAAATGGCGTTAAGCTTCTAAAGGGATATTACTGTTGCGCTTAAAAATAGTTAGCTAGAGTGACCTCCCCTGAAACCATTGAAAATGGCGTAAGGGTCCAAAGGAAGGTAACTGTTGCCTTAAAAAAAAGAGTTGATTAGAGTGACCTACCACGAAAACATTGCAAATGGTGTAAGGGTACCAAAGGGAGGTCACTGTTGCATTCAGAAAAGAGTCGGTTAGAACAACCTCTCCTGATAACATTGCAAATGGCGTAAGGGTTCAATAGAACTTTACATGATTGCATGTAGCAAGTTTAAAAAAAATCTTATTCTGTTTTAAAGTTCCTTCGAAATAAGATTTTATTTATCAACTAATAATATTTTATTTCCCCTAATTATGACTTTAAAATCTGGACCAAAACGCCTTTGTTAACGTTCTTATTAGAGATTTTCAACCATGCTACCACATACATGCATCGAGGACATGTTTGAAGTAAAGTGACCGTGCGACCACATACACGCATCACAGGATTCCCCTTCTCTTACGAGAAAGGGACAAAGAGATGTCCGCCCTTTTATGGAAGGGCAGACTTTAAAAATGCCTTTGCCTTATGTTATTTATAAGGAGGCTAATGTTCACAAAGATGTCTTAAATTGGTTTATATACAACATAAGTAACGCAAACCAAGCGGGTTATAAGTTTACCTCTTTTTAAGTCCGCTATGAAATTTTAAAAAGATCATATATAACTTCTTGGAAAATTTTGAGTTTAAAGTTTTTTCTACTTCTCATTTTATGTATATAACAGAATTATTTTAATTTTGCAAAACATGAACGTTTCAAAAACGTTTTGTGTACGCTAAATATTGGAGATATATTTCACACGTTGTTTTCAAATATTAACCTGGGGGCATTTTTGCCGAAGTACTGTCCAGAGACGATAACTTGAGCCTATGTTTAAAAATTAATAACAATGCGAAAAAGAAAATAAGTAAAGCAGACTGAAGCTTAGTAAATAAAAAACAAAGTATAACATCAAATTTTCATGTGCCTTACAGCGCAGTAGGCAGAGCGTTCGTGTCAGTGTTGTTTCGTGCATTTAGATGTTCGTATCATAGTTAGGTACCATTACATTTGAGTGTTTTATGTATCTTTTTCTTATTTGACCAGTTTTGTTTCAAATAGTTACAAATGCATGAGATAGAATTTGTTTGTACACAGTTGATATGCAGTTGTGTTAAGTTTGGGGAATACGTCAAACATCAGGAAAATGCATTATCAGAAATGTAAGAAATATAATGAAATGAAGAGTGTTATATATTGATTCAAATTATTAATATATTGTAATCGTAGTGTGTTTAGAATTGTTTGATTTATAAAATGTTTAATAATTTTTTTTTAAAAATCACTTGAAATGTAGTTAGTTTCTAAAGAGTGGAACAAAAATGAAATAAAATAGAAATTTATAAGAAACAAATACATGTATATTCAAATGATCATACAAAAGACAGACAAAGTGGAAAAGGGAGAGAAAAAACAACACCATCATATTAACATGAGAGAGCGAAGTGTTCAAACATATAAGTGCAAATCATTAAAAGTTACTGTGACGCTGATTTACCAAGTGAGGTTCTATAAGATGGTACACATTTTTTTAGAAGTTGTTCACACTTTCAATCTCAAATAATATGCAGGCTTATCCTTTATTGGACTTTCCTATGTACCGTTTAGACCAAATTATCATCACAGGACAATATTATGGAAGCATAAACCTGCCCTTTTAACTTGTGTCTTATGACTTGCGACTTATGACTTGTGACTTTTGACTTCTGATTTGTGACTTACCTGTTTGACATAAATCGGCGCGTTTTCGAATGAAATATGGCAGACAAAAACGTTTTGTATTCTAGAACAATTTTCCCATTTAATTGAGGCGTTTTATAACACAGTCTCTTCTAAAATAGTATTTTATCATCTGGATTAGCTGCAATTTAAAGGCTGCTGAGCATCTCGTATTGTCGACAGTTGTCCTGACTTATTCAAAAAATGTGAGTGTTATACAAACCTCTCTCACGTGTAGATTCTCTTAAAATTTATTGTTTTAATGACGGTTGTAAAAGCTGTTCATATCCTGTAAATTAAGATAGTATCTGATACATTCGAGGGTTGATGGATTTTTTAATTTTAAAATATATATTCACA